TGGGTGGGCACAGGCCAGGGGGGCCGCCGGGCGCTCTAAGGGGGTGCGGGAGGCGGCCGTGCTGTGCAGCATCTCAAAGGGGCTGTTTTGGTCTTCTCCAGCAACCACAGAAGCCGAGACGGAACCGAGCCTCACCCCCAATGTAATGCTCAACACGGAGAGCAGCGAGGGATACGTGGTGAAAGTCAGGGGGCTGCCTTGGTCCTGCTCCACCGAGGAGGTGCAGAGGTTTTTCTCCGGTAAGCAGAACTGGAGGGGAGATGGGGAGTAGGGGTCTGGGGGAGGGGCTGGGCACTGTTGTCAATTCTGGGTTCCTCCTGGGGATGCTCTGGCAGTGGGGATGCTGCAGCAAGCAGTTCCAGAGAGCATTCAGGACGCTTGAGTAGCTACTGAAGTTTGTAATGCAACAAGTGCCTCAGCTAGGACCTGGTGTGGAAAGCTCTGCTTTTGCTAGTGGGAACTAGACACAAAGGAGCTTAATCTGCCGCAGCTACAGCTGCCTTAGCTTCTTGAGCAGACAAAAGGGAGAAGCTTCTGTTTTGAAGGAAACTTCAAAATTCTTGTTTCAGGTTAAGCTAAACCAGTTTAGTTCTTGGTGGTGTGCTTATAGTCTATTGTGTTAACAGTTCAGTGCGTCCTTCTCCCAAATTATTAGCATCATGTGGTAATGGGTAGTGGTGATAAATACATGTTTTTGCTAGTGACTGGAGATTTTAAAGCTGCTTCAGGAGTTTGGTGTGTTGAACTTGGTTCTGATTCAGTTCATTACTTACACCAACTGTTAACTGCTCACTATTTCACTTTGTGCTGATGAGAAAGTCTTAACTCGGTTATGATCAAAAGCAGATAGCACACTCTACTTGAGGCAGCAAAGCTTTGAAAATAGATAGCTGATTTGCATTTATCCTTAATGTTTTACTAATTTTCAGACTTGATAAGGGTAGTTTGGTTTTAGTTAGTCCCTTAGTTTACTGGTCACTATGAAAGTTATAACAAGGATACTGCGGGTCTTACTGTCTTGATAGAACTTGATAGTTGTTAGGTTATTTTGCTTTCAGCATATCTGAAACTTTTAAAGATGCAATATTCCTGTAATTAAATTAATTCTGGTCTTCTTGTTTCATTTTCAGACTGCAAAATTCTGAATGGGGCTTTGGGTATCCGTTTCATCTACACCAGGGAGGGCAGACCGAGTGGAGAAGCATTTGCTGAACTCGAATCAGAGGAGGATGTGAAATTGGCACTGAAAAAAGACAGAGAGACAATGGGACACAGATATGTTGAAGGTTTGACTCAGTTGGTCTAGTAGCTGACTAAATGTGTTTGTGCTGGATGGGTTTTTGGTTAATTGCATTTTCTGTTTCTTTAAAGTGCATGTCAAAGGACAAATGGACTTGTGTATCATAAGTTGACTAGTTTCAAGGCAAATGACTTTTAAAACTGTTGCGTGTTCCAGAATGCATTAATTCTAAGTGCCTTTTACAGTTTTCAAGTCAAACAACGTTGAAATGGATTGGGTTCTGAAGCACACTGGTCCCAACAGCCCTGATACGGCTAATGATGGTTTTGTACGTCTTAGAGGACTCCCATTTGGCTGTAGTAAAGAAGAAATTGTACAGTTTTTTTCAGGTATGTGGGATCAAAGTAGTAGCTGTAGCACTATTGGTCTGTGCTAAAAACCACGGGTTGCCCAGTAGTACTTCCAAGAGTATACGGATGGGTATTAAAATAAATAAGCAGTTCTTCATTAGTTATCTGGGCTTGAGGGATCGATTACTGAAGTACTTGTTTATTAAATAATTGACGGAACTCCAAAAAGCTGCTCTAATTTATACTTGGCGGGACACACTGCTCCAAGTAAGGATAGCAGGAAACAAGTGTCTTGCTTTCTAAATTAGAAGTGGACAATGCAGGTGGGAGGACATTCCCCCCACAGTCTCAGCTGGTTCATGCTGTTCAGTAGAACACCCTTGCTGCTGGGCTCAGTACATGGAGCAGGATCTGAGGAGGGGCACGCACTCGGCCCATGAGTTCTCATAAACAGATTTAGTATGGAATAAGATTCTAGAAAAAAACCAGCCTCCTGAACTCTACCCAAATACAGATTCCCCCCCTCATCTTCTGGGGGTGAGGGAAAAACCCCTTTGTTTTCTAGTGTAAAGTTTTTATGGATGAAAAGATGTCGTGTGTGACTCATTCTCACTTTTTTGCAGCTGTTGTGTGTTTTAGGAACTGGAATACTTATTATAAATGCCTAAGAATGAAATCTGCTGATTTATCTGGGGTTTAACTTGTTAGTATTTTCAAAGTAGTACATTTCTAAATGTGAGTGTTTAAAATTAGCTGGAATGTTTTGCTATAACAAGATATGATTGAGCTCACTATTTTGCTTTAAAATAAGATAGAAATATTTCCAATTTTACGACTTCAGAACTTGTGTTTTGTTTTCTGAATCGGTAATATATTGTGAACAAGAGCGATTCCTAAGCATGTGCATTTTAAGTTGTTTCTTTCCTATGTGGTTAAGTGAGTCAAGCTTTAAAAACTGTGCTTAATATAAAAAAATGTGCCTCTTGTGTTTGGAAACTAATACTTCTGAAGTTCATGATTTTTTCTTAATTAAGCACTCCTAAAGATTAATGCTGAAACTTGATGTTTGCGTAAGACTGATTTTACCTGCGTGACTTCTAGTAAAAAATACTTGTTATCTATAAAGTTCTTTTTAACTTGCTGTGTATGAATTTAAGTGTTTTATTAAAAAGTTCCTTGTAAATACTTTCACAGAATTGAAGAGGTTTGTAATAATTTGTAAACTTCTTAACGCACTCTGCATTAGATGCCTTGTCTGAGGAGTTGTCCCTGACACTCAGAACGTTTCTGTGCTCTGCAGGGTGGGTTAAGAAGGTGAACTGAATGGTATGTGATCGTGGCTCTCACTTTGACATGCTTTTTCTTCTAGTGTTCTAGAATCAACATACCATTCACTTACAAGTGTTAAAATTCTGGTGTATTTAAAGCTATAAGAAAAACTCATGACTGGGCTTGTGATGTTAATATTGCCCCCCTACTGGGGTTATTTGTCCTTGGGTTGAAGGGTTGGAAATCGTGCCAAATGGGATAACATTGCCGGTGGACTTCCAGGGGAGGAGTACGGGGGAGGCCTTCGTGCAGTTTGCTTCACAGGAGATAGCTGAAAAGGCTCTAAAGAAACACAAGGAAAGAATAGGGCACAGGTGGGGATGGATGGTTGGTTGGCTCTGTCACTTTTCTTATGGTAAACAATTAAATCCATATTCTCTCTGCTGAAAGTGTTAATATCCCAATAGAAATAGAATTTTGGTCTCCAACTCGGTGATCAGTAAAGGTGCTGCTGACGTGCGCGTGGCACAGACTGTTTGGATCTACCCAAAACGAAAGACAAAATTGGGCTAAGCTGAAGTGTGCTTTGGCAACTGGGTAGTGATGGAGGAGCGCAAAACTGGTAGCTTGCAAGCGACAAAGTTGAGAGACTATGGCTTTAACTTCTCAATAGCACCAATTATGCCTTTAGCTCTAAAGACACGCACAGTACTCTTGCTACCATAAGAAAATGTGATACTTTCTAAACTTGTTTTATAAGTTGAAATGTAACAAATTTTCTTACTGTATTAATCTTCAATGTGATAAGCATAGCTTTCAAGAAATTGTCACAAAGGGTTTTTATTCTATTTTACTTGTGACTATTTTTCATTGAAGCATGCACTTTTTGCCTACGCTGAATCACTGAAGCATAGGCTGGGTTCACTAGCACATGCAGAGCTTCCTTGTAGCATCCTGATGGGTTAAAGGCTTGGTGGAGACCGGGTTTTTAACCCTCTGTTTACATTGCCACGTGAGCAAACCAGTGCTGAGTTGAGCGGACCACGGTCCCTCCTATTTTTTTTTGACTAACACTTTAAATTGGGGGGAGGGGGGTGGGGAATCAACACTGCTCCCCCACCCTTAAGGCTGGGATACTGTGAAGTACGAGGAGCATGTAAACCCTTCAGTAATTGTAATTTCTTGAAAATACCCTGATTTGACAGTAACGTAGTGCTTACAATAGTATGTCATTGCCTGCATAATGTAAAGGAATCTGGCTTAAAATATACCGCCAGTTTCGAGGCTATGACTAAATGGCTTGTTTTGATGTAAAGTTGTGAGGTGTTTGGGGAAGGAATCGAGGACTGAACTTCTCTCTGTGGCAACACTTCCAGGTACATTGAGATCTTCAAGAGTAGCCGAGCGGAAGTGCGCACTCACTACGACCCTCCACGCAAGCTGTTGGCCATGCAGAGACCCGGTCCGTACGACAGACCTGGTCTTACGCGGGGATATAACAGTCTTGGTAGAGGAAGTAGCTTGGAAAGAATGAGGCGTGGAGCCTACGGAGGAGGTAAGTACTCGGAGTCCGAGAGGGAGCTGCTCATCTGAGAAGCAGCGACACTTGGACCTGGTAGTGTCTGCCCTGCTTTGTAACTCCTGGTTTGTATCTTAGCACCTTCTAGAAGAAATGAAACTCTTGTACTAGTTGTCTGCAGCGTGTTCGTGTGCGCCTGGCTCTTTCTGTAGCTGAAATGAACATGTTGTCCGATCTGTTTGTAGGTTATGGAGGTTATGATGACTACAATGGGTATAATGATGGCTATGGTTTTGGTTCTGATAGATTTGGAAGAGGTAAGATTTCTCTAATAGGAATAGTAACCGAACCTACAATACATCCCAAAAGAAACTAAAATACATCTGAAAGACCTAGAATGGACTCTTTTCTCTGCAGGAATGTCGGACCACAGATACGGCGACGGGGGATCCACCTTCCAGAGCACGACCGGCCACTGCGTCCACATGAGAGGTCTGCCTTACAGAGCGACGGAGAACGACATCTATAATGTGAGTTCCCGACCTGCCCTTCCCTCACGTGCGCGGCTCTGGGGTCCTGCGGCTGCTGCGGGACGTGTCAGCTGCAGGGCAGCTCACGAGTGTTCCTCTAGAGGAGAGGGCTTTGCTGTAAAGCCCAGCTGTTGCATTGGTGCCTTTTAATCCGTGTGACTGTTCCGTGTGTAGTTCTTCTCACCTCTGAACCCCGTAAGAGTACACATCGAGATCGGACCGGACGGCAGAGTGACCGGGGAGGCAGACGTGGAATTCGCTACCCATGAGGATGCAGTGGCCGCCATGTCCAAAGACAAAGCCAATATGCGTAAGTGCGGCTGGTCGGCTGATTTTGGGCCAGTGCAGAGGGGCTGCTGGAGCTGGAACACCAGGGGTTTTACTGCAGCCTCGCTTGCGGTGAGGCAGCTGCGTGGGTTTGGGGTGAGCTGCTCTCATGGCAAATTTTTCTTCTTCCAGAACACAGATATGTAGAACTCTTCTTGAATTCTACAGCAGGAGGAAGTGGCGGTGCCTATGGCAGTCAGATGATGGGAGCAATGGGTATGTGTAAACAGTCAAACTGCACTTCTGAGCAAGTGCTTGGTGTTTTATCGAAGCTGGCTGATTAGTACAGCTCCTGCTTACCCTGTGCCTGGCATAAAAACTGAAATTCCACATTCTGTCTTAATCACACAGTCAAGGAATCGGAAGGGGTAGTCCAAGATTGGAACACTAGCACATTGCCAGGTATCTAAACCTTTTGGGAATACATTTGAACAATTAATAGGCTGAATAAACTGTGGTGCTCAATGGGGGGTGTGGTGGGGTGAGTGGCTCCTGGGAGTGTGGTGGTGTGGGAGGGAAGTGGGAGATGCCTGACCTTTCCTTCTATTCTCCTTCCCCCTCCCTCCCTTTTTTTTGGAGACCAGAACATAGTCTGGTGATGGAGGATGTATCTGTGGCGCATGACCTGCTGTTCAAGTGGTGAGGGAGAGTCTGGAATTTGGAGAAACTGTCTGAATTGCTCTAGCAAACACCAAAATAGTTTGAAAATCTAAAATGTGTTTGCAACACCAGTCTGAACACTGCTGGGTCTGCAAAGCAGATACACCCTTCCTGATAACACCCTTCCTGATACCCAACTTGTCTGGTGCCTTAGATGAAGGTGGTGGTTGGTTTTTTGGGGGGCAGGTGTTGGTTTTTCTTGAAGGTGGGGGGGTGTTGGGGGGGTGTGGTGTGTCTGTAGGTATGGTGCTGCTTTCGTAGTGTTTTGATTACAAAATGTTTCAAGTCTAATGCTGATGCTTTAACTACAGAAAAGCTTTGTGGGAGCATAGACAAGCGCTGAGGTGCAGAGCAGTAGTTAGGAAGCCCAAGTAGGGGTCCCCTGTATGGCGAGCTGTAGCGCTGCTGTGCTGCACGAGCAGCCTGGAGCAGGAGTTGGTCCCTGTCAGGACTGGATGCACAGGAGTGGCTCCAGGGACTGAGCCCATGTGCCTCCAGAAGGGCTGGGTACCGTCTGGGCAGCAGCAGTGCTGTGTGAGGTCCCTTACAGCCACCTCCAAGTCTCTTGGGGCGTGTTCTGTGCGGCAGCAGATTGATCCTGCGATGTACAGTCTGTAGAAGCTGCGGAAGTAAACCCTTGAGTCACGAGCACTTGCTGGAATTCTTGAAGTTCTTGATGCTTGGTGGTGGGAATGTCTTTTTTTTCAAGCTTGTTACCTTGTATAATTAGGAAGGAGGTTACCTAGTGGGGGAGAGAGCTAGTGCCAGAGCAGAGGGGCTGTTGGTGAGGTGAAGGGTGGACTGTTGGTAGTGAGCAGACTGTGACAGCTGAGGTCTTTAACGCTTGTATCCTTGACTTGAAAGGAAGCCAATCCAGTTACGGCGGTCCAGCTAACCAGCAGCTGAGTGGGGGTTACGGAGGAGGATATGGTGGTCAAAGCAGCATGAGTGGCTATGGTAAGAGCATTTCTTCACTTGTCTTAGGTGGGCCAAGTGCCGCTGGCTTAGTGTGCCTTAAGGTGCTGCTCACTGGTGTTGAGGGGTCGTGCCACAGCCGGGGCAGTGCAGGCCCTGGAGGTTGATGACTTGTATATTGTGAATTCTAGAGCTAAGGGAGAGTGGAGGGGAAGAGATTCAAAGCAGGAACTTGGAGCTGGGGGGTGGGAGGGCAATGGGGGATGTTGTTCTGGAAGGGGCAAGATGTGCCAGTCTCTGTGCTTGCGTTACCCTGGGCGCTTGGTCTTGAAAGCTGGAAACCAGCCTGGGGTCATCACGGTACAAACTGGGGATGAACGGGGACTGGGGGGCTGGGTCCCCCCCACTTCCACAGCACAGTGGCAGCAAACCCTGAGTTCAGCCGGGGGGGCGAGACAGAGCTGGCTCTTGCATTGAACAACCGATAAACTGACTTTTGGGTCCGGAGCTCTAAACTGACGCTTTGCAGTATTGGGCACAGTAGGCGGGATTTACGAGGTGGCCCAGCACGGACAGGCGCTGGGGGAAGGATGCTTCGAGTCGGCCTGAACCAGCTGTGAACCTGCTGTCGGTTTTCCCCTCAGACCCCGGGAGCCAGGGCGCCATGAACAGCAGCTACTACAGCAGCGGGAACCGCGCGTCCATGGGAGTGAACGGCATGGGCGGCATGTCCAACATGTCCAACATGAGTGGTGGCTGGGGAATGTAACCGCTGACTTTTGGTCACATCTTTTTTAAAAAACAAAAAAAACAAAAAACTAAGTTTAACAGTTTTGCAATACGAGCTTGTGATTTATGCTTTACTGTAAGTGAATTCAGGATTGTTATTTTAAAACCTTTTGGGTTCAGTATTTTTGAACATACAGAAATGAACATTCATCTAGGATGTAATAACCAAGTTGAGTAAAGACTATAACTGTTAAACAATTTTGAGCGTTTCTCAAGTTAGTTTTGTTGTAGGAGTGTATTTAAGCAGTAAGCGTATTTAGGTTAAAGCTGTTTGAATTCTGTTAAATGTTGCTCTTATACCATACTACATCCAACACTGTTTTGAATACATGTTGAAAGAGACATGCTTTTTTGTAAAGAAACAATATAGGAGCTGTGTCTGAAATTCAAAGTGAACATTTGGCATGTTAGTTCTAGTTTCTTTCTTTTAATACCCTGTAAGGCACGTTAAAGCTTTTTTTTTTTAAGTTAATGGGGGAAACATGTTGAGACGCAATACGGCTACTTTAGGATTTTGGTCTTGGTGTTCGTATAAAATTCTGAGGCCTTGATTTAATCTTTCATTGTATTGTGATTTCCTTTTTAGGTGTATTGCGCTAAGTGAAACTTGTTAAATAAATCTTCCTTTTAAAAACTGGAACTCCCTCCTTCTTGACCTCCACGTTCTGTGGTGTAGCTACACCTGCAGAGGTGTCACTGCTCGTGTGGCCCTGGTGCCCATTGCCCTCCTACTGTAGCTCCTGATGGAGATCTCCCCTGGAAGCTGGCCCTGGAGGATGTTAGTGATGGTTGTTCCTCAGCCAAGCGGGGTTAGTGGAGAAAAGCAGCACTTGCTGGGGTGGGTGAGTGGGGTGCCAGGGCTGTGCTGTGAGGGGGGCTCTCCTGGGCTGGGTCTTGGAGCTGCACAGGGGCTGTGAGGTCATTCTGTACCTACTGGTGGGCATCACTTGGTGCTGCATCAGTGGAGTTTGCAGCTTAGCGCAACCCTGTTCCAATGAATTCCACTTGTACCACATGTTGCTTGAAGGTGTGTTTTTATGAGCAGGTGTTACAGCTTTTCAGTACTGGAGCTTCCCCTGAAATAACACGGACTCTGCTTCCCTGTGTTTGCTGTAGTAAATTTTTTGAGGCAGCAGGGTTGGTGCTGGAGCCCAGCTCCACCGGGGTCTGCTCCCTGCTGCGCCTCCAGCCGAGCTGGGGGCCACTGAATGGCCCAAGGGCAGAGCAGGACCTCGCTGGGGCTTGTGCTGCTGCTCCACGTGAAGCCTTTCAGGGAAAGGGCCTGGCTGCAACCCTGTCAGCTCCCAGCTGGAGAGCTGTTGTGCACCCTGCGGTGCTCACCGAGCAGCGGGTGCTGCTGGGGCCGGTGCTGCCTTCGCCTGGCCTCCGCCCCAGCCCCTGGTGCCGCTTGGCAGGTCCCTGCCCGGCCGTGGGGCAGCGGCGGGGCTGGTGCTCCCCTGGCCCAGGCGCTGGGAAACGGCGCCTTGTTACAACCAGCCTTGCCCAGGCTGGAGCAAAGGGCTTGGTGGGGAGGTGGGCAGGGGTTGGGGGGCCCTCGTGGGTCAGGGCAGCCCCTGAGCACCCCCCGGCTGTGGGGGGGGCAGCGGCGGGGCTGGTGCTCCCCTGGCCCAGGCGCTGGGAAACGGCGCCTTGTTACAACCAGCCTTGCCCAGGCTGGAGCAAAGGGCTTGGTGGGGAGGTGGGCAGGGGTTGGGGGGCCCTCGTGGGTCAGGGCAGCCCCTGAGCACCCCCCGGCTGTGGGGGAGGGGGGCACCTGCCTCTCCTGGGGAGGTAGGGAGCGGTTACTGCTGCAGAGCCTTGGCTTTATCTGGCACCTTGCAGAGCACCGGGGGCATCCACACAGCAGCTGGTTATTCCAGGTGCGTTTTGGCGCCTCTAGCTTAAATCCTCAATGCCTGAGGCTGTAGAGGAACCTTCTCTCCCCGGATCCATGACTGACAGCTGTCACAAATCAGAACTTCACTCTTGCTTTCAGTTTTTGCAAAAGGCTTTATTGTGTAACTACCGTACTGTGGTCACCGGGACTGCCAGAACAAGTACAAGGGGTAGTTTTTGACTGCAGCAAACAGAAGGCACATTCATCAACACTCATCATAAAGTTCTTTCTATAGACAACTCATAAATTGACTTTTCTTCTCTGTATTTAGAGCAAATACAAAACTGTACACAGCCAGTGAAACAAACAGGAGCACCTACGGTGAAGATACAGAGGAACTGAAGTTAATGTGCAGACAGACAGTGACATCTAGAGGGATCAAATAAATGTAGAAATGCCATATACAAATTTTAATACAAATATCTATAAAAATCAGAAAAGTGAGTTTGCATTTGAGTTTCAAAGAGAACTTTAAGGGAAATTACAGCTGATATAATTTTCTTAATTATTCCAGTTGGAGAAACATTAGCTTGCATAATCCCTACAAGTTATTTTACTCTGTCATACAGTGGAAAATATCAGAGACCAGACAGCCTGCTGCACAGAAGATGCCTGGAATTCAGAATTAAAAAAATAATGGCTACTTTCCAACGTTAAAGTGGTCCTGTGGAGGTTACGAAAGCCTTAGGAGGAATTAGATGAACACCGCTGGAGGAGTAAAGTGTGACAAGTGTCGCAGACACGGACAGGTTTCGGGTACGAGGGCAGTGCAAGTTCGTTACTGGAGCAGGTGTTACAGAAGATGTCCCCGCAGTTTCGGCAGTGATGCTACAAACAGAAGAGAATACAAAGAGAATAAGCGCTGCTGCCTAAAAACTGAGTGGCAGGACGAGCTCTGTCAGGCCTCATGAGAGCTCTCGGAGCCCACCCGACTCCCAGCAGGCCCAGCCCTCCCAGCAGCAAGCCCTCCCGTGCAGGGACTGCACACAAGCGGTGGGATCCCCGCTCCCCGCAGCACCCTGCTGCCCTTCCCCGGGAGCTGGGCTCGCCCCGGGCTCGCGGCAGAGCAGGCCCGGCCAGGGCTGGAGGAGCCGCTCCCCGGCTCACCACGCAGCCAGGCCCTCGCCTTCAGGAAAGCACATGGAGGAACGGGGGTGCCGGGGCTGCGGGGTGCCCCGTGCCGGCCCCCCGAGCTGTCCCAAAGCGCGGAGCAGGACCCCAGCAGCAGCCCCCTGCGACCCAAAGGCCCCAAGCGCGGCCTGTCGGCATCCGGGCCTCCCACCACGCAGCTCCACAGGGAAGGGAGATGAACCACAGCACAAAGAACACAGCCCCTAACAGCCCCTTCCCAAGAAAGGCACCCAAGCAGAACATTATTTTTAGGATGGGAAAAGCCAAATTACTCCTCTGCGTAGCTCTCATGCCAGCACCACCTGGAATGGAAGCAGTGTCGGCCTTCCCTAGGAACCTTTGCAACGGCACCATTTTTGTTACGCGTGACAAAAGGAAAAACTACTCCAGGAACAACGCTACCTTCCTCCTTGAGATAGAGAATTCCTTCTCACATTGCTTGCAGTGTGTTGCTTCATCGTCCTTCAGCCAGGTATGACCCTAGGAAATTGGAATGAAAACCTCTCTGTAGATACAAATCAATTTATAAAAACAGGATTCAAAGGCAGTTTACCAACATTGTTGGTATCTTTCAAAAGTCATCTTTTAAAGCAGGATAACAGTGGGGAAATTTGAAGGTGAAATGCATACTTTTAGTCAAAATATCCATGAGACGTAGAGTACCTTTAGTGCTTTATTTACTTCTTTAATATCTTCCATCTTCAACTTCGATCTGGAAAAAATAATTATTCCGTCTGCATGACTTTGCACTTAATTGTGTTCAATTTTAATTGCCAATCCAGTGTTCAGCCACTGAATCTAAATTCTAATCCTTCAGTCAGCTCCTGTTACAATGCTGAACTGCTCAGTATCACCAGGAAACTTCTCCACCTTGGGGTTTGCCCCCAGTTCAGTATATTCACACGAATGTGGGAAAAGCACAGCCCTGTTGTAAGAACTAAGCATTCACTGTACCGTTTCCTATCTCAGCCAGCTTTCTCATGCAAGGATCCTCCCTCACTTTTATTCCATGGCTGTTTAGTTTCCCATGCACAGTCATCACCTCCTAAAATTTCCAGGTTTACGGATTTTTATAACTGGATGCATTTTAAAATGCTTTGTATCAGTTTGACATTCTCACGTCACTGTCGGGAGTTCAGTTCCTAGAACTTACTGGCTGAGGTGAAGTCCCATTTCTTGAAGAGCTTGCTCCTGCTCCTCACAGACCTTCTCTAACTGCTGCTTCTCATCTTGCAGTTTTCTCAGTTCCTACAAAATCAAACACAAAATCAAGTGTTTGTGTGCCAAGTTTGACCTATGACCTAGATCAGTCTACCCAATCGGTTCAGAAGAATAAGCTCCTTTACAAAGCTACCTATTCCCAAGGCTTGATTTCTAGAATTACGTGGGTGAACGACCCATGGGTTCTGCACACACAACAAAATCATTTCACCATATTTACCAGAAAGAGGAAGATTTTCAGGCTTTGGACGTCCTGGCACACAGCTAGAACGCAGCAGTCTTGTGCCCACCCACGAGCATACAGACAGACACTGGTGTACAACTGTACTGCCAGACGCACGGGCGGAAATTCTCTTCAGGTTAACAAGAACGTTCACGCTTCAGAAATGAAATGGCACCTTCGGTTGTTCTGAACGCTCGGAAACGTGCTGGTATTTTATGACATGAACAACCTCACGCGGCCACGGAAAGCCCTGCACCCGCCGCCTCCTACCTGAGCAGGGGGAGGGACAGCTGGCGAGCTTTTTGTCCCCGGCTGCCCCACCTCAGCTGGAGCTGCTGCCCCGCAGCGGCTCGGGCCCAGCTGGGGCAGGGCAGGCACTAGAGGCGGCTGAGGAGCTGTTGGTGTTGCCTGAGCCCTACATGGCATTTCGTGGGCCAACTTCCACCAGCCAAGCTTCTGAACCCCCCAGAGGAGAGTGGCACAGAAGAAATACTCTGCCCCAGAAGCAAACGTTGCACTGGTTCCAGTCAGCCTCAATCCCGAACCCGGGGCAGGCCTGCACTGCACGTACCTTTTTCAGTCCTTCCATCTGCTGCAATTCCGTTTTAAGCAGAGAGGTAGCGTCCTTCTCTTGGTGCAGTTCTCTTTGCAAAGTTTGTCTCTGTTCCTTTTCAGATTTTAGCTCCTTTTCCAGAGTTGAGCTATTTAAAAATAATTCATTCTAAGAAACCCTATAGCAGAAAAATATCCTATAGCACTTCAGGACAGTATGAGAAGAAACCTTGTCCAAAAGAGGGCAAAAACTAGAGTGGTGTTCTGGGAAAGAACAGGGGTGTTACGGCAACAGACACGAAAAACTACGTTAGCACATTTGTGTCACAGAAAACAAGCAGCAACGAAGGGCTAGAAAAAAAAAAGAAAAAAACCCCAAACAAAACCCCCAAACCAATCCCCACAAGTACCTATTTGACTACCTATGTTTAAACAGCCAGGTTTAAAAATGACACTCTACTCTGAAGCCTGAACAGTGAAAGAAGCACTTTCTATAGGTATTAGAAATCTTTAGAGCATTAACATTCCCCAAGAACACCAGGACACTCCCCAAACCCCTCCAAAAACCCCAATCCACGGGGATGACAGTCACTTATATGCTCAGCCGATGAGGAATCCCGCACCTATCTCCTGGTTTAGTAAAAAGCAATTGCAAGCTCTGTTGCTAGTCAGAACGGCCAGATTTCTACTGGCCCTCTGTGCCCTAAACTGGACATTCTGGAAAAAAACATTTCAAATTCCTCAGGCTGACAGAAGTGCTGCACTTTCCTAGATCTTGCGCACTCCTGCCAATACCTGCTGATTTTTTACCTACCCCTCTTCAGATCATAGCACAAGAGGAGTAGAAAGCATGTCTGAAAGAAATGGCAGAAGGGAAGGAAAAAACCGTGATGAGATTAAATACCATTTGCTGTCCAGTTGGGACATCTGCTGCCGACAAGTGTCAAGCCTGCCAGCAAGCTCTTGCTTCATCTTGTTGCATCTTTCTTCTGCAGCCTGCCTTGCCTTTTCTGCGTGCTGCAGTCTGCAAGGCAAGGAACACGTACGTTTGCTGTCAATTCACAGACTCCTTACCTTCACCTGCTCATTCTGTTCTTTCAGATCCACCACACAGATCTTTATAAAAGCTTGAACTGAAAATGGTAGTGGTGAAAAAAAAAAGACTTTTGAAAGCAACTGTTTCTACAAAAAACCCAAATCAAAAGCAAGAGTCATACCTGTTCTTAAAGGCAACATGTTTTTACACAACCAGCCTGCCTATGGAAAGAGCTATGGTTTTCAAACAGCTCAATTATGGGCATGTTTGCCTGGGAAAAGGGAACAGGCGAGCGCAGAGGGTGATAAGGAGGAGAAAGGAAAGAGGCTACCACCATGCTGGCACATGTGCCCAGGTGTCTACTGGAGGTGGATGGAAGGTCACCCTGTAAAGGTTTCAGTTGGAAACTTTCTACTGACTTCAGCACTGACTTTTGGAGCTTGCAGTTATTACCTCTCTTCCATCTGTTTCATCGAGGACAGCATCTCATTCGTTTTTCCTTCAAAAGAGGAGATTGCTTCTGTTTTCTGTTGTAATGAACACTCTGCATTCTGTTGGAATACATGAATGGATATTTCAAATAACACATTTTCGTTTTCTGAAGCACAAAGTGTCAGTGTTTAATGAAAGTCTGCCACTAGACAATGTTTAGCTTGTGCAGGCCATGCCTGGGTCTAACTGGAATGTACAAACAAAACACTGATAATGCCAGAGCAGACACTCCTCAACTTGTTTTGTTAAGAGGCCAGAAAATAACCTTAACTGTACTAAGTTTTGACCTACGAGATCAGCTACAAGCCAAAAATCTTCTCTTTAGAAACGACCTTGAAGAAAGAAACCATATCAGATCAAATTGACAGGATAAGAATATCAATTACGATTTGAATGTAACGACTGCACCCAGTGACCATGGAACGAGGCAGCCAAAACCCCACAACATAAATACTGCTTTTGAAAGCAAAGGCATACCTCAGCGCTGGGGTTTCACTGGCCATTGCCTTGCAAGTTTCTGTGCATCTGTGAAGGAGGCAAAGGCCTGGACAGAGCCTGAACAGGCATCAGGAAACAGTCCACAAAAACCGTGAGAAATCCCCTCCGGATTTCTGGCACCAGGTATGGGAGGGGAAGTCTAGTTATTATTTCTCTTATTTCACTAGTGGAGACAAGCTCTGCATATTTTGCGCGAACACTACTACTCCGTCACTTCCTTGTGGAAAAGCCTACCGGCATATTTTTTGTCAATTGATAAAAAAACCCCAAGACAAAGCACCACAACCCACCCAACCAACAAAAACCCCACAAAAACATCCCCAAACTCCTGCAACAGATATGACAGAAAGGATGGGGAAAGTACACTCCAAAAACTGCCAGGGTGAGGAAGGGACTGAGGATGGAAGACAGGCCCAGAAAGCAAAATGGTTTTAATTTTACTCCTCTAACCACCTTATATCTGGAGAGCCAAGGCTTATGCTAAAGAGGGCACAACAAAATACCTAAACCACTCCAACAACAGAGACCAGCCTGACCACGGAGTTCCTCCCTCCCTTTCCCCATCCAGTGCTGTCTTCCCACTGGCTCTGGCCCTCAGCTGACCATTTGGGCACAGACTACGGGAGATAGACAAAAATAACCGATGGTTTTCTGGTGGTTTCGAGAGGCTCATTGTTGGATTCTCTGGTAAACCGTGTTAAACGTGGTGCAGGTGAGAGGCAAGACAACACAGAGGGGAAGGAGAAGCAAGACAGTTCTAGGTCTTTTGTAAAGACTAATCATTCGGCGGTTAGAACAAAGGACTCTTGCAAACACCTTCTCCCCCGTGAGAGCTCCGTTTGCCTCAGTGTTCGCTGGATGACCCTACAGCACACTATGCAGCACACTCAAGGAAACCCCCTTTCCTTCCAAACACGCTCGATATCATATCAATAACGAAGCATAACACAAAAATTAAACAGTTTTAAAATATTCTTAAGGAAATTGTTGCACCCAGGGATTACTTCAGATGCATCCAAGTGCTTATGCATCCCCAGTGCATGATTAACCTGTAAAGGCCACCGCTACGGCTGCTCTTTCTGCTCTCCACTACGTACATACCTGAGATTTGTGGAACATCTGCAAGTTAATCGCCTTCACTTCTTCCAACTGTTGGCGAAGGGCAACTAAAGTGTCTTGTTTTTCATGAGTATCTTTTTCCAGAAGTTTCATGGCAATTTCCATTTCTGTTTTCATGCCAATTTGTAGCTCCAACTCTTTCTCTAGTTCCTTACAAAGAGATTTCCTAGTTACTGCTATGTAGTCAAACGTTGGGGACAAACATTTCCAAACCCCACATAAGCCCATACACAAACCAGGCATTCCTCCGAGGCAATACCGAACTGCGACTTCCCAGAAGAACTCGCTCTCCAACAACACACTAAGTTGGTAAAACCAAAATACTATTTCAGCTCCCCAGATCAGGGCAAGGGTGCAGGTCTGCTGGCACGAAGTGTAGGGCAGCCTGTCGAACGGAGCATCTCTCCTGGCAGCTGGAGCTGGGCTGACACGAGCCACAGGCTTCAGCAAGCCCGGGCAGCCTCTTCACCAGCACTAACCAGCAGTTCACTGCACAAGTGGCTGTTGTGCATATATTGCATTTTCCTCCTTAAAGGCAGTTGCCTGCCTTTGTGTTTTGATCTTAGTCTCTGCT